GTTGTGATGGTGGTCGTCGTGGTCGTGGCATGATTACTTGCACCAGTGCGAAAAAACGGAAGGAAGGAGGACGGAATATACATGATCGTAACACGTTCTGATGAGGGAAAGGAAGAAGAGGAGGAGAGGCGGGAGAAGGATCAGCGGGGGGAGGCAAGACAACAGCAAAGTGAAGATGCACCAGCGATGCTGCAATACACCCGCCCGTCCCAAGTCTCCTCCTCATGAGGCGATCCATGTCACTACGGGGAGCGCTCCTTTGAAAGACAAACGTAACAAACATATGTTCCCCTTATCCTTCTAGCTAGATGAGACCCGCAGAGGTAGGATCATTCCAAGGCCCTGTTCTGAAAACGATCAGCAACCAATGTACAGCTCTTGCGCATACTTTCGTCTCAGCTTCATGACCCAAAGCTGCGTAAGTCTCGATCCACAAACCCATTTTGAAACTAGCCCTTCTCCATCCCTGTAGTGTTACCAGGTGTCTCAACTCTTCCAGCCATGCGCCAGTGCAGCAGCGACGTGGGAGCTAGCTAGCGGTCAGATCATGTCGTGATCGACCCATCGTGTCTACCCCCTCTCCCCTCCTCCTCCTCCTCCTCCTCCTCCTCCTCCTTCTCCTCCTTGCGTGCCTCTTCCTGGAAACTTTTAGCCAGACCTATGTCGCCGAGCCTGTTATGGATAGAGTGCCGAAGGGCCCCTGGAAAACACAATCATCTCTTTTCACCCTGCATGCGCGACGACTGTAATTGCCATAACTCCTCAGGACCTCCACGTGAAACACAACCCAACATCTGAAAATGTCCCATACTACATCCGTGTACTCAAATTGTGGGAAGTTCCCGAACGGATGTGCGCAGCGACGGGACGACAGCCACATTTTGCAAACCAATCGCCCTCCATAGTTGTGCTTAGCTGTAGGAGACGGAGGAGGAGGAGCGAGGATGAGGGAGGAGGAGCGAGTGAGAATGTATGGAAGAAGGGGGATCAGAGGGGGAAAAGGCGGATGGTGGGGGACGAAGATACAGTGGGGGGGAAGAGAGATGAGGGAGGAGGAGACGAACGCAGAGGCAGAGAGACGGGAGAAGAAGGGGGAGGCGGAGGAGGAGGAGGGGGAGACAGGAGGAGAGAGGAGAGAGGAGGATCAGGAGGAGCAGGAGGAGGAAACTTGGAGGACTGGAAACGGACACCGACACCAAAACAGGGGTGTGCTTTCACCGGAGGAGGATGATCCTAGATTTTGGTGCTGGTGGTCATTTTTCGGCGACCTGGGAAGCCCAACTGTTACCACCATCATCGAGATTGGGATCAGCTTCCATCGGCGGAGGCCCACTGCCGATCTTGGCATTGGTGCCAACCCCTGGGCCTCCGAAGGAGGAGAAGCAGGAGGAGGAGAAGCAGCAGGAAGGATGGGGCTCAGGAAAGAGAAGCGAAAACGGGCACGGAGTGGAATTGCCCCCCTCGCGATGCGATTCGGGGGAGAAGAGGGAAGGGGGAGGTGGAGAGGGAGGAGGACCGACGGATGGATGGAGGGAAGAGCGGCAGCAGTAGCATTAGGTCGGGCCTGTCCCCCTACAGGCGGATGTTGGGTAAAAAATGAAAAATATGCAACACATGCGCCAACAATGCTCGAAAATAATAAAAAACTCGTCCACAAACCATTTTTTGGACTACTTTTGAAGATTCCTCCTGTAGAGGGACACGCCCGACTTAACAGTGGCAGGGAGAAACGGCAGGACGCCTCGTGGAGCCGCGACGAGCCGATCCCGGTGCGCCTTCCCGAAGTGCCTGTCCTGTAGGAGTGCCGCACGGACCTGCGCGCGGCCGTGCCACCGCCACCTCCTGCTGTCCTCCTCCTCCTCCTCCTCCTCCTCCTCCTCATTCTGCTCGTCCTTCTCCTCCTCCTCCTCCTCCTCCTCCTCATCATCATCATCATCATCATCATCATCATCATCATCATCACCATCATCATCATCATCATCATCACCATCATCATCATCATCATCAACATCATCATCATGGTCATCATCATCATCATCATCACCATCATCATCATCATCATCATCATCATCATCATCATCATCATCATCATCATCATCATCATCATCATCATCATCATCATCATCATCATCATCTTCATCTCATCGGACTGGGCGCACGCGCTGGGGGGGGTGCCGCCGCGTCGGCGCGGAGCTGCCGCACCCTCCCCAGCCAGGCTGTCGAAAAAAGAGCGGCGCACACATGGGCGATTTCGGAGACCCTGAACCACCAAAACGGGGCACATCTTGTACTTCCGCCGCCTTCTGGCGAGCTTCCGCCGGCTTCCGCCGGCGGAGGCGGCCTCGTTTCACTTCCGCCGACCTGCCGCCGCGGAAGAGATGACAACTCCTTCGATCCTCGAGGGCAAGGCCCTTTTGGAACGCTCCACATAGAGGCATGAACTTTATAGAGGAAAGAGAACTATGCACATGCACCGAATCTGGCCAGACCCATCCTGAGCCCATGATCGGTGCATACGCCCTCCTGCCTTGGCCAGGAAGGCATATGCACCGATCCTGGGTCAAGGATGGGCCTTGCCAGGATCGGTGCATGTGCATAATTCTCTTCGCCCGACTTTAGGGTGTTCTGGCCGGGGCGTGTTCAGAGCAACCCCGCGCACACGCTCTGCGGGGCGGGAGGCCCCCCTCCGCCCCTCCCTCCTTACCCTCCCCCCCCCCCTCCCTCCCTCCCCCCCCCTCCCCCCCCCCCCCCCCCTCCCCCCCTCCCTCTCTCTCCCCCCCCTCCCTCCCCCGCCCTCTAGGAAGGACTCGGGACGCTGACGGTTGGGGACTGGGATGTGGACAGCGCGTCGCACTGCGGCGCGGCGGGCCGGAGCCGCCGCCGCGACACGCTGCCCTGAGATCCGACGTGGCCAAACCACGGACCATGGCACGTCGCGAACAAAATCACGCCAGAGACCATGGACCGCACCTCCCTGCACGGGCTTCTCCTCGTCCCCGTCCCGTCCGATGCAGGGCACTTAGAAAAACAACGAAACAACAAAATAAGCATAAACTCTTGGCGCTCCGTGGAGCCCCCTCCTTGGCGCGCGGAGAGCGCCAGGGGCGGCGCCGGAGGCGCCGCCAAGGGGGCCCCGGGGCGGATCCAAAAACTCCGCGCGGAGCGCCAAAAGTTTCTGTCTATGACGTTTTTCGGTGGTTCAAAGGATAGAAAGGGATACAAGGATAGAAAGGGTTCAAGGTCCTGAGAGATGGGGGCCTAAGGATAGAAAGGGATCCAAGGGTGGATCTGCGTGGTTTGAAGCGCCTCGTCCTTAGGACCCCACCTTCAAACCACCGAGTTCTTTCTTCCTTGAGCACTCGCGCGCGGCAGGCGAGGGCGCGCCGCCTCTGGCTGGCGGACTGGCCGGTGGGGCCGCGCCGGGCCGTGCCCCCGGTGGCGGAGCGGGGCGCCGCAGGTGGCTGCTCGCCTGGTGGCCGCCGCCACTGGGGGGGGTCCAGGCACGCAGGCTCGGGGGGTGAGCAGAGGAGGATCGAGGAGAGGAAATCTGCCTTCTAGTGTTTTTCGGAGGAGGGGGCGGCGGAGGAGGAGGAGGAGGAGGAGGAGGAGGAGGAGGAGGAGGAGGAGGAGGAGGAGGAGGAGGAGGAGGAGGAGGAGGAGGGAGGAGGAGGAGGGGGAGGAGGAGGAGGAGGAGGAGGAGGAGGAGGAGGAGGAGGAGGAGGAGGAGAGGAGGAGGAGGAGGAGGAGGAGGAGGAGGAGGAGGAGAGGAGGAGGAGGAGGAGGAGGAAGGAGAAGGAGGAGGAGGAGGAGGAGGAGGGGGAGGGGAGCGGGGGGAGGACGGCAGGATGGAGAGGATGGTGGCAAGGCAGGAGGGAGGAGAGGAGGATGGGGGATGGAGGGGGATAAAAGAGGATGGAAACGTAAGAGACCTCTTCTTGCTTTTTGGCGATCGCCCGGCTTATTTGGTGGTAGTCGTGGGAGGAGGTGACGGCCGATAACCTAACCTTTTCACTTTGGGCAGCCCCACGGATGCCCACCCTCCCTTCGAACCTGCGGAACCGACAAGGTCAGTCGATCAAACTATCGGGGGGGGGGGCGGGCCCGAAAGCCCGACTTCTCGCCAGAGCCTCTTCTCGCCGGAGCCTGCCCGAGGAAACGAAAATGGAGGAGTAGCATCGACCGAGGCACAAAAAGCGAGACTGGCCGACCTGGCCCAACCCTCTGCCTTAGGCGCTCGCTCCGCGTGCTGCGACGATGGCGGCGGCGGTGGAACGAAACGCGCACCGTCACGAGTGGACCCCCCGTCTCCACGTGGCGGGCTCCAGAAACCCTGAACAATCAAAACTGTGTTTTTCGGAGGAGGGGGCGGCGGAGGAGGAGGAGGAGGAGGAGGAGGGGGAGGAGGAGGAGGAGGAGGAGGAGGAGGAGGAGGAGGAGGAGGAGGAGGAGGACCTTTTTTTGGACCTTTTGTTAAGCACAGCGTGCCGCGGGGGGAACGAGAGAAGAACCACTCAGCACCCAAGGTGGCTGCCGAACGGCAGCCACCCCCCGACCCTTCGACCCCTCCGAACGGAGGGCGGCGAGAGGTCGCCGAGCGTGGCGGGGTGGGTGCTGAGGACTTCCCCCAACAGCGCGCTGTGCCTCCGTCGCGCTCGAGGGAGCTCCGACAGCCAAGGCTCCCAGACCCTCGTCTGGGAACTGAGGCGGCGTGCTGCCCGAGGCACGCCCGCGGTGAGTGCGGGGCCTCGGCACCGCCGAAAGGCGGGGGGGTTTAAGGTGAACCCCGAACTCAAATCGACCACCCCTCGGCACGCCAGCGGTGAGTGCTGGGCCGAGGCACCGCCCTAAAGGCGGGGGGGTTTTGTAGGGAAACCCCGAACCTATGCGAACGACGGCGGTCGACGCGGGTGACCGCCGCCCCCACGGCACGCCAGCGGTGAGTGCTGGGCCGTGGCACGCCGAAGCGGGGGGTTTTAAAGGATAACCCCGAACCTACCGTATCACCAGGCTGGTGGCCCAAGTCCTGCACGGCGAGCGGCGGCCTTGATGAATCCGCTGGGGTTGCGGATCTTGGCCTTCATCGCGATCATCTCCTCCACGAGCTGCGAGGCCCAGTAGTCGCCAAAACCCGCCAAAGCGGACGCGGCCTCGTCGTCGATGGGATTGATAGCGAACTCGCGGGTGTTGAGAACCTCCACCATCCGCTTGGCACGCAGGTACATCATGTCCTCGTCAAGCGGAGCGGGCCCTGGAGAAGAAGAACAGGAAGAAATCTTCTCGGCGCCGACACCGAAGGAGAGCCCAGAGGACTTGGCGGCATACTCGATCTCGCCCTCGGACTCCTGGTTGGCTCCACTCGACGCTTCAGCAAGAACCTCCTCGCCGTCGGCGGGGCTCACCACCTCCCGCGCGGCGGAGTCCTCGTGAAAGCTGGGAAGCGCGCCGCCCTTCTTCTCCCCAATCAGCTCGGTGATGCAGTCGCTGACGACCTTAGCCTCGATATGCTGGAGCTCCTGTGAGAAACCCCGGGCAACGGCACGAGTCGCCATGAGCTCGTCGCAGAGGCTGTCGGCGACCGCCTGGCACTCCTGAAGGCGACCCTCGGCCGAAGAGAGCAGCTCCTGGCACTCGGCGACCCGCGCGCGCTCGACCAGCAGCATGCCCTCAGCCTCGTCCGCGCGCTGGCTGTGGGCGAAAGCCTCCTCCTTGACCAGCGCCAGCTCCTGCTTGACCCGCGCCAGCTCCTGCAGGGGCCCAGACAGGCCGTCCCCGCTGCCCGACGCCGAGTCGGAGTGATAGCCTTCGTCCCCGCTGGCACCCGTGGAACAGCAGGTCGGGGGGTCAGCCGCGCACGAAAGAGCGCCGTGGATCTTGTCCAGCAGCTCACGGTGCGGGTGCGCGCAAGCGCGCCGGCCGTTGCGCAGGCTGACCCACTCCTTGGCGAGCTCGCGGTGCCCGCCGTCCACGAGACGACGACGAATGTCCTCGCCCGTGGCCTTCTTGTGGTCGTGCCCGTACTTGATGAGCACGTCCTCGTAGCCGTCGATGACAGCGCAGGCCGAACAGGCCTCCGGAACGCCGCCAATGCCGGCTCCCGCCGCCGGAGCAGCAAGGCAGGCGGTGGCCGCCGCCACCACCGCCTCCTTGAGAAGCCACTCCCGGAGCGGCCGCTTGACCACCGTGGCGCTGACCGAAGAGAGCAGCGCTGCAAGCTTGGCCTCGACCGCCGAGCACGCCGACATGGCGAACTGGGCCGAGGGCACGAGGGAACCGTATGCAGGGTGCGCGGAGCAAAACTGGCGAGCCAGCCCCTTGAGCCAAAAATGGCTACGGAGGAGGAGGAGGAGGAGGAGGAGGAGGGGGAGGGGGAGGAGGAGGACTCGACTCGATTCGAAAACACTTGGGGCCGATGCACCAGTCGGGTCACTTCCGCACGCTCGTCCTGCGTGCCATCAATATGGAGGCTGAGGCATCAGTATACAGAGATGAGACCGTGCAACAGCAAAAAATGTCGTGCCCTGTGCGGCGAAACTCGCCAACCTCTCAGTTCCTTTAAATCGTGACCCTGCTGCGGTCACATAACCGCTGGGCCGCGAGGAACGCTTCGGCGGGGAGAGCCCCCGCAGCGCCCCCGCTGGCACTAGCAACACTCTCAGGATTGCTTGCCCTTCCCCCGGCCCCCCCGCTCACGACGACGACGGCTCCCCCCCCCTTCCCCTTCTCAGTCGAGAGTGCCACCAAAAAGTTATGGCTAGCTGGCGCGGCTGGTGCCACCAAGCCTCTCGCGAGCAGCTCTCGATATCGCGCGCTGTCTCTGAACGGCGGCGGCGCACTCACTTGCTGCGACGCTGCAGCCTGGTTGTGATCTGCCTCTCCAGCGGTCACTACGGATCGGATCCGACTAGCTGCGATGCCTTCAGATCCGTCAAAGCCGCGTCCCGGAACCAGTTCACCTCCGAGCTGAGCGGGTTCGGCCCCAAAGCGTACTGCAGCCTGACCGTGCCCCCCAACTTCTTTGGTCCTGGCCCGCGCGGCGCCCTCACCGTGAAGTGACGGATCATGCCCATGTACTGCATCGGCTTCTCCTTCAGGTGCGGATTGAAATACTCCTCTACCTTCTGCTGGATCTCCTCTGGCGTCATCAACAGGAGCGCCCTCGTTGTCATGAAGAACACGGTGATGAACGGTGGCCCTAACGTCGACAAGTCCACATCCTCGCCCTCCGCCGTTCGGTCGTGAAGTGCCTTGACCATGTCCTCGTAGGACTTGTTGGCGGCCAGTCCTGCTCGGTACGACTCCGCGGGACTGAGGTAAGTCGGCAGCACCATGGACGAGCACATCACCTGCTCGCGTGCGGTGTCGGTGGAAAGGATGGCGACCTTTGTCACGAGGCTGTCGTTGTCCTCGCCCTTGCTCTTGCCCTTCGTCTCTTTCTGTCTTTTCGGCTCGCCGTCGGGCGCCCCGTCGGCCTTCCTCTTCGGCGCCAGAAGGACTCCCGCCAACGGTAGAACCGAATCCTCTCCGACCATGCCCGTGTCCACATCGATGAGAAGGGGCGCGCAGCAAATGCGAACGAGCGTGTAGGTTATACTTACGAAGATAGCGATGTTCTGAGCCACAAACTCTACAGACCAGCACACCTGGAACCACGAGCTCAGTTATCGTCGACGCTTTGTTTCGAAGACAACGTCCATGAAGTAAGGCCCCCCTCCAAATGTTTGCACGCCGTAAGGCGCTCACCAAAGACTTCCTCACATGCTATACATTGATTCGTGAGCGTGAGAGCATGCGAGAGCTTAACACTGTTATGCACAATGCGTGCATGATTTGCTAGCCCAGGCCCGCAACTAAAAGTGGCACCACAGGGACTTGATACGTCCTCCCAGGGGCACGTGTGCAGACGCTCGGTGAGAAGGGCTCCAGCTTACTAGACCTCGGGGGGCGCCGAAGGGTCTCCAGGAGGCTGGGGTCCAATGGGGCCTGGGGAGATCTGCACACTGAGGGCAGCTCCTCGGAAGATATTTACATCGATTCGGCGGAAGCGCGCAGCGAATTCGAGCTCGAACAATCTTTTCACCCGACCTCGGCAATCGGACCAAGGGTCTGCTGCCTCTTCAGACACCAGCACAAGCTGCTCGATATCTGCCTGGACTCTCAATGCCCACGGGTTAGCATCGGGTCGGATTGAAGCTTGCTCGCCGAACACATCTTCTCCAAGAAAAACGCCGACCGCGCAGCTATCAGCTGTCGGTGAGATTCGGGATAGGAGCAAATACCTTGAAACCAATTGAGCCGCCGGACTCTGAGTTCGACGCAGAGCGGAATGATTTTCCAGTACTCAAGCACCTGCTGGGACGACAGCGAGCGAACGTGGTGCGCATCTTCCAAACTGGCTTTGCCTCTCATCGCTCTGCGACGCAGGCCTGCTACTGCGTAGTCCAACTTGCGAGGTTGGCCTGAGCTTGGAATGAAACATTCGGCCGCCGAAAGGGCGGAGTTTACTACATGGCATAGCAAAACGCAGCGTTTCCATTTATACCTTATGTTAGGCGCCTGCCAAAAACGTCCGAATCTAACATAAGCCGTCTTAGCGGCCTGGATCCGTTTGCCAAGTTCTATCTGACAAGACTGGGTGGAAGTCAGCCGCGGCCCCAAATATCGCACGGCCTCTCCGCTTGGCTCAGGGCGGGGCCCAAAAAAAAAAAGCCTCTTGTTTCTTGGGGTTACGTTTGAGGCCGATCTTCGCCAGCTCAGCATCAAGCAACTCATCGTTCTTCTGCGCAGTCCATTTAGCCAAGTCCAGGGAAAAGCGCTGGCCTAGGACCAGCTTTGTTTTGAGAGATCGTCTGCGAATTTAGCGAGTCCCGGGTAAACCTTAGGCGGGTTTAACAGATCACACTATGCTTCTAAATCTCGCCCCCGGGGATCCTGTTCGCGACGCTTCGAGATCCACCGATCGACGGGGGGGGCGAAACACATGAGCGAACGACTCCACGGCGAACGGGTCCCCTTGAAGCATTCCGCACCTTGTTTTCAGCAAAAGGTCTCCACCTTCTGCTGGGGTGCTGGTGCGTGCCTGTCTGTGCCTCTGGTGGCAAAACCGCGTCTCCCTCCTCATGGCCATGTCAAGAACGGCCTCGTCAACTGCTGGCCACGACGGGGAGGCAAATGCATTGCTTAAATCTTTGAGTGGGTCAATCCAGTACAAGCCTGCCTTATTCAGTCGCCAGGATGTGCAAAGGTTGGCGGCGATCGCATCTTCTCTCCTCCTACGGCGCAAAAACCCGTGGTCCAACTCCGAGTGTTGGTACGGCGGTCCTCTTTTCATCACTCTTTTCAGAAAGGCTTTGCCGACCGGGTCCAATCCGCGCGCCGCCCGACGCCCAGCAGGGCCAGGCAAAGCGCTCTTCTGGAAAGCAAACCCCTGGCTGCAGGACCACAGACTCGGGAGAAGGCCAGTCTGTCTGATTAAAAAGAAAACACGATGCAACCAGCCTCTAACTTGTTCGCCGGACACGTCTGGGAGTTTCGAGCCGAGCCCAGCACATTGACGAGGATCCTCCTCGGGAGGCTCACCGACCCCCAGACGCCGCAACTCCACAGGCAAGGACCACCTCGGGACCCCCTTTCTTTTAGAAGCTGTTTTTAAATACGCTTGAAATGACGCTAGGTCCCCTACGGCATCTTTATGAGATTGAACGACGCGCTCCTGCCGATGCAGCGGCGGGGCAGGAGGTCGCCGAAATCATTCCCTTTCCCTCTCCAAGTCCCCCCACTCCAGCCTCGACGCCAACGCCCCCCCTTCCCCTCCTGTCTTGGACCAGGCCTCCAGCCATTCGTCCTTGGTCGGAAGCGCGCCCTGCGGTCGCGAGAAGTCTCGCTTGCCGCTGCCGAAGCGGCCGCCAGCAAGGCGCAAGCTCAAGCGGTGAACCCCAGCCAAGCTGCGCCGCCTCCATGCCTCGTAGATCTCTTCAACGAGCGCCTCCTGCTTGCGTTCATAGGCCCGCTTGCGCTGCTTGTGGCATTTCTGTGCGATGACCTTCAACGCCCTGGTGTACTCTTCTAGCTCCGAGAGGTCACATTCCTGAAGCTGTACTCGTAGCTCACGCCGCTGAGCCAGTGGCCGAAGACGCTCCTGCTTGTCGGCGTCGACGTGGCCCTTGGCTCCACGTTCGAAGATAATTTTCTCAGCCTCTCGCATTACCGTGTCCAGCGTCTTGAGCAGCTCCTCTGGTGTGTCGTTGGCGCGAGTGTCGAGGTTTAGCTCCGATAGCTTAGACTCGACAACAATCGTAAAATCATATCGCTCACGGGTGCCCCGCAGGGCGGCCATGAGCTTGTCTCTGTCCCACTTTACTTCCTCATAATCTGCTCCCTCGGGTGATCGCCAGGCCAAGGCCATCTCGTCATCCATGTCAATGTTGAGTTCAATCCGAGCGTGCACAGGTAGGTGATCTCGGTGCTCAGCTACTGGTATGTGTTGTAGCTTGGTGCCAATTCGCTTCAGCGGTCCATGAGATCGCACTTTGGCTGCTACCGCGAGTGGAACAAAAACGTGATCAATCATGTTTTTGTTGACGTGCGCATCGTAGAAAGTGTGTGCAACTCTTTGGTAGGAGGTCGTAGAAAACAAACCATGCTCTTCCATAAGCTCACGCAGTCTATGCCTAGCTCCGCAAACATGTCTCTCTTGTGTGACTCCAATTCCTATCGCCTGTTCTCCTGTGTTCTGCCACTGACCGTCCTGCTTTGAAAAAAGCCCATTCCATCATTCACGCCAGTCATTATGAACGGGGTGGCAGAGTGCGGGGCCTTGCCTATTGATGTGGATGCCCATCTTGTCAGTTTCTCAGAGCACGATAGATAGGTTGGCATAGCTTTTCTGTCCGACGGCTCAGGTGGATAATACAGTATCATCGCGTAGAAGGATATGCCTCTGAATTGAAAGTACACTCCCACGCCCCGCCCCTGCAGCTGAGCCGGCGGCGTGTCAATTCGTGTTATACCTTTCTGCGGCCACCGTGGTGGCAGCATGAACGTGCACCCTGCGCTTTTGTTACTAATGCTATGTTTCCAGCCAGCAACCACTGCAACTCTGTCCAATAGTCTTGTGACACGATATGACTCTCCCACGCATGCTTTGCAGCATGTTCCCTGCAGTCCAATCATCCCGAAAATTCTGGCCTCTGCTGCAATATCCTCCAGCCGCACATTCGATCCATAGAGGCAATTAAACGAAAGCATAGCAAGTGTGTATACCATCCGCTGCTAGCCAACAGCCACGTAGTAGTGAGAGAAAGTGCCGTACGTGTATGTGTGTCACCTCAGGACGCGCGCGCGCTGGAGAGGGAGCAAAAACGGCGGCGCTGGAGGAGGAGGAGGGGGAGGAGGAGGAGGAGGAGGAGGAGGAGGAGGAGGAGGAGGAGGAGGAGGAGGAGGAGGAGGAGGAGGAGGAGGAGGAGGAGGAGGAGGAGGAGGAGGAGGAGGAGGAGGAGGACGACGAGGATGGAGGAAGTCGGCGTGCCCCGCGTCGAGGAGGGCGGAGTCCACGCGCCGCGCCCCGAGTGTGAGGGCGGGCGGGCAGGCGGGCCAGACGCGCAGCGTCGCCTCCGCGGGCGGGGCAGCCGCAGGGGTGGCCTCTCGCGGGAGGTGGGCGGGGACTCGGCGCGGCGCGGCGCACACAGCCTCCGGAGGTCGGCGAGCGCAGAGGTTACCTCACCCTCGCCGTCGAAGTCCACTGAGTGGTCATGGCGTTGGGCTTCGCCGCGCTCCATGGGATCGGGCGGCGGTTCCGTGTCCTGGCCGCCGTCAAGGACCAACAGCTCGACGGTGATGTCGCGTGCTGTCTCGGGGTCCCCGGTGAGGCGGTCAGCTTCGGCGGTCGGAGCTCGCGAGTTGGGACATTCATAGGCTTCGCCAGCTTCAGAGATGCGAGGGCGTGGAAAGGCCTGGCGAAAAATTCTGGAAGGACCTGGAGAAAACTTCCGAAATACCTTCTGGAGGAGGGCGCGCCGCTGGATAACCCAGGGGGGGAGGTGGGACCCCCCCCCTTTTCCAGGTCCGTCGTCGGGACCCCCCCCCCCCCTTTCTTGGTCCGTCGTCGGGGATCCCCCTCCGCCCTTTCCCTTTTCCCGGTTCGTCGTCGGGGACCCCCCTTCCCATCCCTTTTCACAAAGGGGGGGGGTCCGAATCCCCCCCCCCTGGGCTCGAAATTCGACCCCCCCTCCCCTCCCCCCCCTTCGCCACGCCGCCCCCTGACTCCAGAACCCGCCCCCCTTACCACCCCTAACCCTAATCCTCACCCCAACCCCAGACCCTAAACCCAACCCCATAATCCTAGCACCAAGCAGTACTCGATACTCACTACTCACTACCCACTACCAACTATTCACTACTTACTGGTTCCTACTCATTACCCCCTACTAACTACTCACTACTCACTACTATATACTCACTGTTCACTACTCACTACGCACTACTCACGGCCCAGTACTCACTACTCACCACTCACTCAGCACGATCCACTACTCACTACTCACTACGCCCTACTCACTACTCAGTACTCATTACTCAGTTCCCACTACTCACGAGTCTCGACTCGCCACTCCCTACAGAGTAGTCGCTACTCTCTATTCACTAGTCACTACTCCCTACTCGGTACTCGCTACTCAATACTCACAACTCACCACCCACTACTCCCTACTCAGTACTCACTACTCCCTAAACACTACTGACTACCCCCTACTCGCAACTCACTTCTCACTCCTCATACGCACTACTCACTACCCATTACTCACTACTCGCTACTTCCTACTCGATACTCGCTACTCACAACTGCCTACTCACGAGCCGCTCCTCACCACCCACTACTCACTACTCCCCACTCACTAGTCACTACTCACTTCTCACGACCCACCTGTCGCTACCCATTTCTCATATCTCATCACACACCACTCACTACTCCCTACTCACTACCCACAACCAACTACCCACTATTTACTACTCGCTGCTCCCTACTCGCTACTTACAACTCACTGCTCACTACTGCCTGCTCCCTACTCACTACTCACTACCCACTAGTCGCTGCTCACTTCTCTCTACTCGCTACTCCCTACTCGCTACTCACTTCTCAATACCCACTACCGACTACTCCCTACTCGCTACTCGTAACTCACTACTCACCACTCACTGTTCACTATTCACTACTCCTTACGCACTACTCGCTACTCTCTACTCACTACGCACTACTCTCTCGTCTCTACTCACTACTCAGTACGCGCTACGTACTACCCACGACTCACCACTCGCTACTCACCACCGAGTACTCACTACCGACTACTCACTACTCCTTACTCCCTACTCCCCACTCAGTACTCACTACTCATTTCTCGCTACTCACTATTCATTACTCACTACTCGCATCTCACTACTCACCACTTTCTACGCACTGCGACTCACTATTCACTATTCACTACTCACTACTCACTACTCACCACTCGCTACTTTCTACCCACTACTCACTACTCCATACTCCCTACCCATCTTCTCCGTCGCAGAAAAGAGCAGCGGGAGAGGCCGCCTCCCCGGCTCCTTGTCCGGCGCAAAAGGGGGAAGGGGAGGGGGGGGTCCGAACCTCCCCCCCCTTCCAGCGTCAAAGGGGGCGGTCGGGGTCTGTACCCCCCCCCCAAAGGAGGGAGGGGGCGGGGGGGGGAAGGGGGGGATTCTGCGAGCACCCCCCCTTTTCAATTACAGGGTGATCCAGTGGCGCGCTTTCTTTCTGGAGAACTTCCGGGCATGCGTACAGGGAACGCTGAGAAAAGGCCTGCCGGAACACGCTCCAGGCTCAAACAAGCCGCGCCGGGGATTCTGGACAGAAGCCAAAACGACCTCCGGGGCTACCCTGCGGCTCCGGTTTCTTAATTTGAAGTCGTTTTATCGGGGGCGCGCAAACATGGATTAGCGATCCATGGATCTGGCGCGCGGTCGCCAAATCCATGGATCGGGGGAGGCGCCCTCCCCCAAAAACGGCCTGTGCCGCCTCGCTCGGAGGCGGAAGCCCGCGATTTCCCATGGAAACGGGAACCGTCGCTAATCCACGCCCCCTTGATCCATGTTTGCGACCGCCTGATCTTAGCCCTCCACGAGCTATCAGGGAATTGACTCCCGTCACTGGAGGCTCGGCGCGGGAAGCCGCGGTCCGCCCTGGGCCACAAGGGCGGAGTGCAGGAGAGGATGCCTCTGTGGGCAGCTGACAGAGGCAGGACTTCCAGCCATGCGAGGCTCCTCCCCCTCCATCGGCTACACGCAAGAGTGACCCTGGGTAAGAGCGACCTCTGGTGCGCGACTTTCGGGCAGCCGCGGAGGGGCCAAACCTAAGCGCGCAAGACGCAAGTATCGCACCGCATTCGGCGATCAGGGGACCCCCATGGGCCCGCACCAGAAGTCACTCCTGGGAAACGTCACCCTTACGCATAGGCGACTCAACCCTCCCCATTCCTCATCCCACTCCTTCACAATCACACAATCTGATTACTACTCTCCTCTCTCCCATGGTGGCGTCTGGGAGATGTCCGGCCCCCTCCGCGTACTGGGTTTTTACACACCGGAATTCCTGGAGTTGTGTCTTCGCTAGGCTTTTGTTCAAAATGCTGCTCTCGCTGAGGCACTGGCTTCATTTTGAGGCTACCGCTGCAGCGCTGGCCTCATTTCCGCGCTTCCGCTCGTTCTGGTTCGTGCTCCCGCTGCAGCGCTGACGTCATTATTTCGAGTGCCATGCCCCAGCATGGCTATTATTCGGTCCTTCCAAATCGGCCCCAAAATCTAGAAAATGCCCCCCGACAAAAACCACCGGAAGTGATTCCACATTCGCTGTCGGTTCGTTGTTTGTCGGGGCCGAGGAAGCCCCCCCCCACCTTAGGGCGTCGCCACGCCATGCTATGTCATGCTACGCGTTGATCTTTGCCACCATGCTATGCCAGGTGATACTATACCATGGTACGACATCTCATTGCGCGAATAGAAAACATCTACGCCATGGTAAAGGGATGGGAGGGAGGGGTAGGACGTCAGATATGACGCGAGCGCACCTAGCTTGTCAACCTCTCCCTCTTCCCTCTCCTCCCCCTACATTCCCCTCCTCCTCCTCCTCCTCCTCCTCCTTCTGCTCCTCCCCCACCTCCCCCCTCCTCCCCCTACTCATCCTCCCCCTCCCTTCCCCCCTCCTCCTGGTCCCTCCCCCCCCCCATCCCTTCTCCCTTCCCCTCCTTCTCCCTTCCCATCCTTCTCCGTTCCCCTCCTCGTCGTCGTCCTCCTCCCCCTCCTCCTCTTCCTACCCCTCCTCCTCCTCCTGCTCCTCCTCCTCCTCCTCCTCCCCCTCCTCCTCTTCCTACCCCTCCTCCTCCTCCTCCTCCTCCTCCACCTCCACCTCCTCCTCCTCCTCCTCCTCCTCCTCCTCCTCCTCCTCCTCCGCCAATGCTTCCCCGCCCGGCCGTGTGTGGGCCCACGACGCCGCCCGCGCCTCCCGGCAGGTCCGGCTCCGACAGCGGGTCGGGCAGCTGGTAGGGCGGGCAGGCCTGGACGGGCGGGTCCGACGGGGGTGGGGGCTGTTGGAGGGGGGAGGAGGAGGAGGAGGAGGAGGAGGAGGAGGAGGAGGAGGAGGAGGAGGAGGAGGAGGAGGAGGAGGAGGAGGAGGAGGAGGAGGAGGAGGAGGAGGAGGAGGAGGAGGAGAGGAAGAAGGAGGAGGAGGGGGGGGGTGGAGGAGGAGGAGGAGGAGGAGGAGGAGGAGGAGGAGGAGGAGGAGAAGGACCAGCGGAAACCCAAGACCTCCCTCCAAACTCCCTCTTCTTAGCCCCCTACAACGGTTCATTTCCACTGAGGGCATGAGGGAACTGCCTCGGTGGAAGACAACCGTTTGAACACCTTGAAACATTCAAAAAAATGTGTTCTCGGGATTCCAACGCCACGGATCAACCTGACTGCTGCGTCTTGACGATCTTGAGCCGCACCAGAATACCATTCCTGGGACTTCAACACCGCGAATCAGCGTAACAGTTGCGCCTTGATAATCATGAGTCCTTCCAAAACACCATGTGTGGCTTGTTGATCATGAAAACCCGTGAAGCCCTCTCAAGTTGTTAACACGAATGTGCGCGGCGCTAAAACGAGAGCCACATTAAACAACGGCCCGCCCTCAATCCGTGAAGCTCTTGTAAATCTTTACAGCGAATGTGTGCGGCGCTAAGGCGATTACCACTTTTCGAAAGCCACCCACTCTTAATCCGTGAAGCTTTTTCCAGTTTGTAAAACGACTGCGCGTGGCGCCAAAGCGAAAGCCACTATTAAAAAACGACGCGCCCTCAATCCGTGAAGCTCTTGCAAATCTTTAGAGCGAACGCGCGCGGCGCTAAAACCACCCGCCCTTAATCCGTGAAACTATTTCGAATTTGTGATACGAATGTCAGAACTGTGCGCGGTGCTAAAGCGAGAACAACATTTTGAAAACGACCCGCCCTGCATCTGTGAACCTGCTGTTAAGATGTTAAGCTTCAAGGTCGTACATGGTGTGGAAGTCTGAAGCGAAACGCCCGGCCCGCCCTAAAAACTAGTCTCGGGGTGCGACCGGGAGAAGTAAGTTACAAGGAACAACAATGGAGGAGAAGGAGGAGGAGAAGGAGGAGGAAGAGGAGGACGAGGAGGAGGAGGGAGAGGGTGGTGTTGTTGCTGCTGCTGCAAGTGTTGCTGATGTTGCTGCTGATATTGTTCATGTTGATGTTGATGCTGTTAACGATGATTATAGTGATGATGGTGTTGATGCTAATGATGGTAATGACGGTGATCAGGAAGATGATGATGATGCTGCTGATGATGATGGTGATGCTAATGAGCTCACGTCACCGAGAGAGCTAAGAAACTGTTGGCCGTCGTCGGAACTTCCATCCTCATGTACTGGCCGTAAGAGATGCTGGCAAACCACGGAAAAACCGAAGGCAACCTGGTGCTGATACATATCCTCGTCCAGCTTCATCGACTGTGTGCAGAAACGCACGCGGAAGTCCCACAGCCACTGGTGGCATCATACGTCGTTGACATCACAATTCGCGTAGCATGGGCCGGCGAAGGTCGCATCCCCTGCCTCCGAGTGGAGCTCGTCGGTGGGATGCTCGTTCAGCCGATAGGTGATTGCAGAGACCGCGTACGACATAACTTCGCGCAAACTGCCCAGAGCACGCGGAGTAAGGTGTTCCATGATGCCGTCAACGCCGCAACCACCTCAACATTTAACATCGAATGATATGTTCGTGTATTCACCGTGGCGCTGCCATCGGATGTGTCGAAGAACTCGGGCATGTGACCTCATGGTCGCTGGCCGCGCCGATATAGCCAGAACTGGCTGTGCTTGGCTGAGCTGACGGCACCTGGCTGAGCATCGAAGGACCCGTACTCGTCGGAAGCGTCGACCTGTGGCTATGCTCGAGCTCGAAATCCAGCTTCTCCAATACTTCTGAACAGTATTACCGAGTGAGGTGGGGAACGACCGCGTAGGTACGCCAAAGTGAGCTCGCTCATCTTGTTCGTGACCCTTTTGCTGACCATCTTCTTGCACTTGCCGAGGCCCTCTCGGACTGTTGCAACGCTGCTGCCGGAAGCAGATGCCAACGGCTGCAGGGGCTGGCACAAGAATTCAGCTAGGAGCTGGACGCTGAGATCGGGAGTGGTAGAAGATGGTACCATATCAACACTTCGTACATGCGCAGTCCGACACGCACGCGAGAGAGGCATCAGGACAAAAACACGTGACCGCTGGGGCGTGAATGCCTTTAGCCCAAGTGGCTAGAGCCAGAATGGCCTCGGAGGAGGAGGATTCGGAGGAGGAGGAAGAACGTGCTTGCCAATATAAGGGTAGACGATGGGAAGGTCAGGTGACACGCCAGGTGCGCTCTTTCCAAGAGGGCGAACAGGGGGAGGGGGAGGAAGATGAGGAGAGGAAGAGGAGGATGGAGGGTGGAGGGGGATGATGGCTATGGATTGGGGATTGGGAAGGAGGGGGTGAGGACCAGGAGGGAGAGGAGGAGGAGGAGGAGGAGGAGGAGGAGGAGGAGGAGGAGGAGGAGGAGGAGCGGGAGGAAGAGGGAGGAGAGGTGGGGGGATGAGGAGGGGGTGGGTGGGGGAGTTGGAGGGGGAAGAAGAAGAAGAAGAAGAAGAAAAATAGAAAAAACAATAATAATCATAGTAATAATCATAATCATCATCATCATCATCATCAGCATCAGCATCAGCATCATCATCATCATCATCATCATCATCATTATCATCATCATCATCATCATCATCGTCACCATCATCATCATCATCATCATCATCATCATCATCATCACCATCATCATCATCATCATCATCATCATCATCATCAACAGCATCATCACAACAAGAAAAACACACGGGCAACTCAGAAAATCCCACCAGCGGATAGGGCTGTGCATCCTGGTGAACTCTGGCGGGGGGGAGGGTTGAACAGGGACCGACCATCCCGCCTACCATGAAACTTTCTGCGAATCAAGAAGAATTCAAATAAGAAAGCTGTTTTCTTAGAGCGTAACCCCGATTGATTCAAACAAGACTGTCTAAGCCAGAAGTGGTCTAAGAACATGTCGCGCGAGCCAAGAGACAGTCTTAGCACATTCTTTTGTGGCCATCTGGGCAAGTCCAAGCGATTCGCCACTGCTCGAGAGGAGGGAGACGGACTTCGGAGGACCTCGTAGGATTTCGGAGATCTCAGGGCGCCTTCGGATGTCTTCGGCTGGTCTTGCCAGCGTTAGGTAGGGCATGTCCCCTACAGGCGGATTTGGGATAAACAAAACAAAAATTCGAACAAACACCAAAAATAGTCAAAACATGTTCAACAAAATCATCCCCATACTATTCCCCAATCAGTGCTTGCACTGAAGGGGTTCCTAGCGGAGGTTGAAGGATTTGGCGAAAGATTCCCACCGATTTTGGTCGTATGCTGGGTTCCCGGGTTCCCGGTTCCGGGTTCCCGGTTCCCAGGCCGATTTTGGTGGGCGGCGAGGTTCCCTGATTCCCGGGTTCCTAGTCGATCTTCTTATCGATCGGTCTCACCATCGATCTCATTACCCACTTCTCTATCGATCTCACCATCGATCTCACAATCGATCTCACTATCGATCTCACAAGCGATCTCACTAGAGATCGCACGAGCGATCTCGCGATCGATCTCCCTATCGATCTCATTGAATCGGTTTCACTCTCGGTTTCACAATCGACCTTACAATCGTCCTCTATCGATTCCACTAACGATCCCATTATCGATCTCACAATCGATCTCAAGATCCATATGACTAATTTTCAAATCATCCACTGATCGGGGTACTCTCAAGTGTAATTTGTAGTGATTCCCTAATCAGTGCTTGCACTGAAGGGGTCCTCGCGGAAGTTGAAAAATTTAGAGAAAAGGTCCCGCCGATTTTGGTCGCACGCTGGGTTCCCGGGTTCTGGGTTCCCGGGATCCCGGTTCCAGGTTCCGGGCCGATTTCGGAAGGCGGCGAGGTTCCCTGGTTCCCGGGTTCCTGGTCGATCTTCTTATCGATCGGTCTCACCATCGATCTCATTACCCACTTCTCTATCGATCTCACCATCGATCTCACAATCGATCTCACTATCGATCTCACAAGCGATCTCACTAGAGATCGCACGAGCGATCTCGCGATCGATCTCCATATCGATCTCATTAAATCGGTTTCACTCTCGGCTTCACGATCGACCTTACAATCGTCCTTTATCGATTCCACTATCGATCTCATTATCGATCTCAAAATCGATCTCAAGGTCCATATAGCTGATTTTCAAATCATCCACTGATCGGGGCTTTCTCAGGTGTAATGTTCAGATTCCTCCTGTAGAGGGACATGCGCGATTTCATGCCAGTGTCACGCGTGAAAGACCGTGGAGGAGGCGGCGCTGGCCGTGAAAGGGAGTGGGGCAGCGAGGGAGCGCATCCACCACGGTCTGCTGCAACGCGAGGCGTGGACAAGCGAAAAATCTCTCGCTCAGCTCTTCGAAAAGAAGCATCGGCATAAACATGTCGTTTCTTCTTTTTTCTCCTAAACATGCACAGCCGTGCATGTTAAGGAGAGAAGACATGCATGTGTTCCCACATCGACGGACAGCTGCCCAGGCGATACAACAGGTGGATGGCGAGTCCTCCCTGAACTGGTGCCCACTGGCACGAGAGTTGGCCGAGACGCCGTCACAGCCAGCAAGGCTCCAGCTCGCGGCATAGGCATACATGTCAACTTATATTCGTGGCGGCGCGAAGTGTCGCCTATCTGGTGACCGTGGGCGCCTCGCTGACGCCCCGTGGGCTGGCTTGCCGCCCCGTCTCAAGGGGCCCAAAGACACACACACACATAAATACACACAAATAAAAATATTCCCGATATTTTCCTATGTTTTATGGGTTTTTGTCTTCCCGCCCAATTCTCATATTTTCCAATATTTTCTTTGGGATCGACGATTAATTGTGTCTGTGTGTTTTTTCCCCTCCTGACCGTCATCCGTTTCTGATGGCCCCTGATAACGGGCACCGCCCCGGGACGGGAGGCCGGAGTCGAGGAACAAGAACACCAGGACTGAGCAGATCATAGCGTCTGGGATCTGGGCCCCAGTGGCTTTCGCCATCCCGCCTCGCCTCCTCCCTGCTCTCCGTCACCCTCCCCCCCTCTGCTCGTCCCTCCCCCTTCCCAAGAGAGGAACAGGCCCAGACATCCAACGATGCGATTTTGCAGCGCGCGGCCCACGAGGTCCCGCGAGATCCCGGCCTCTTCCCTCGGGGTAGCTTGCCGCCCTGGGTCCGTTTTTGATGACCCGCGATGCACGGAAGCCTGCATAGGACGCACGCGCCCAACCACGCACATGAACGCGGCTCCCCAATCCACGAGACCTGCCGCGTGACACGAACGTTCGCGCAGTCCGCACTCTCGAAACCAACGTGGATTCACGTGCGCGTGCAGTCAACTGGTATACTAAGGACGTGCGATAAGGATGCAAGGGCCTTGGAAGGCCATGTCGACACTTTGCGAGCGGGGCGCGGCCAGCGAAAACGGCAAGGTACGAGCGAGAGACGTTTCGTATGGGGCGAAGCCCATTTGGGGGGGGGTCCGGGGGAGGGGGCAGGACCGGGGATAATGGTCTACTGGCCGCGTTTCCCTCGTTTTTGTTCGAGTGAAGCAGCTCCCAGGCGGCTCCCATGGCATGTTTTTCCGTATACGTTATGATTTTTCATGACGTCGACACCCAAGGGTCTCGACCCATTCCCCGGGACCAATTTCTCATCCCGAGTCGGCTTTTGACGGTCCCGAGGGCTGGCGAGGGCCCCTGGAGGCCGAAAATGCTGGAAAATCTTGCGTCGTGATTTTTTCATGACTCGAGGGGGTCTGGGGGGGGAACGCAGCGGGGGAAGAAGGCAGGCGGACGGCAGGGAAATTAGAAGGGAGGGCGCCAGCTATACACCTATACGTGCACCGAGCCGGGCCAGATGCCACTCCTGGGCCCACGCTCGGAGTGACTATGCATCCTCCTGGCTTGGCGAGGGAGGCATTAGGGGAACGAGTAATGACATAGACATAATACGGTGGGGGTGTTGGTCAAGGAAGGTGCCCAGGAGGCTTCAGACCCTGGGGGACTCCTTATCCCAAGAGGGCGGCGGTGATCCACGGCCAGTCCACGATTGGAGCCTCACTGGCTTCCAGACCCTGGGTTCCTTCTTCAATGGTTCCTTATCCAATGCCCTCACCGTAACTCGGAGGTCCGCGCGGATTTCTCGGATTGGCGCTGGGGCCCCCCGGCGGCGCCTCCAAACCGCTCCTGGCGCGCTCCGCGCGCCAGGGAGGGGGGTCCAGCGCGGATCAAAGAAATCCGCGCGGACCTCCGAGTTCTTATGTTTATGTGATTCTTCGTCCCCCTATAGGCATGACGTCGACCCCCAGAGGTCTCGACCCACTGCCCTTGAACCATCTCTCGCCCCCACTATGTTTGTTTCCACGCCTCCCGGCAGAAGAGCCCCCTGACGCCAAAAATCACGAAGAACACCCTCCGTCGCTCTCTCTTCGTGGCTCGAGGGGGTCTGGTATACACCGATCCTGGGCCAAGGAAGGATGGGCCCATCTTCCACCACCACTACCATATGTAGGAGAGGGAGAGGGAGGAGGAGGAGCAGGAGGAGGAGGCGGAGGAGGAGGAGGCGGAGGGGGGAGGAGGAGGAGGAGGAGGAGGAGGAGGAGGAGGAGGAGGAATATGAGGAGTTGGCTCACTAGTGTATTGGTTGATTGGTGCATGAAGGTGGAGGTACGTTTGGACCCCTCCCTGCATCCGCCTTCGCTGGCCGAGGGGCCGAGGGGGCTGCAGGGAGGAGGAGGAGGAGGAGGACCTCCTCATCCTCCCTTCTCCCCCGACCTACCCGCGGCGGTGGCGGTGGAAGAACTGCCCACCACCCAGGGAGGGGCCCGGACGGCAGCGGTGCAGGTGCCGAGCCGACGCCCTCTCTGCAGGGCCGCATACAGCCCGGCCCGGGCCTCCCGCGGGGGCGTCCTGCGCTCCGGGGACTCCGCGGGCGAGGCCGGGCCCAGCGGCGGGGTCGACGCGATCTGGGTCAGGGGCGACCTGGAGTCCTCGGGGCGCGCGCGGCGGCGCCGCCGCCGCCGCCGCTGCCGCCGCCGCCGCCGTCGTCGTCGTCGTCGTCGTCGTCGTCGCCGCCGCCGCCGCCGCCGCCGCCTCCGCCGCCGTCGTCGTCGTCGTCGTCGTCGTAGTCGTCGTCGTCGGGTCGAGGACGGGAGGAGGGGAGGAGGCATGTTGTCTTCGGCGCTGTGGCAGATGTGAAATGCCAACGCCGTGGCTTCGACAGCCTGTGCTGGATGTTGGAGGAGGAGGGGGGGGCAGAGGAGGGGGAGGAGGAAGAAGGAGGGAGCCTCCAGGAGCTCCAAAATGGCAAGAAAAACGCCGGAGACTGCCGCCGATGTCTCCACGCACACTCCTCCGAGGATCTCCCCCTTGCTCCTCGCTTTTCTTGCGCAGGCCGCTGGGCGCTCCGTCCGTGGCGTAAGTTGCTCTTCGCTCCTCCTCCTCCTCCTTCCCCTCCTCCTCCTCCTTCCTCCTCCTGCTCCTCCCGGCGTGGCCGCGGCGGCGGCTGCGACGTGCTTTGTCCAATGCCCCGCCCCAGGAAATCCTGACCCCCTCCCAGGTCGGGGGCGCGCAATCATGGATTGGCGATCCATGGACTGGGCGCGCGGTCGCCACACCCATGGATCGGGGGAGGTGCCCTCCCCCAAATGCGGCCGGTGCCCTGCGATCGCCCGGCCATGGGACCAGCCTTCGGCCCCGGAAGCCGCCTCTGAGAACCCCAGGAGGCAAGGGCTCCTAAGTTCGCGCTTCGCGCTCCGCGAAGCGCGAAGCGCGAATAACTTCGCGCTCTCGCGCCGCCCCCCAAGGAGGAGAAGAGGAGGACGAGGAGGAGGGGGAGGAGGAACGAGGACCGCGAAGCGCGAATAACTTCGCGCCCTCGAGGGAGCCCTTGAGGAGGCCCGAGAAGGGGCCCCCACAGGCCGAAGGCAAGGAGCAGCGCCAGGAACCTAAGAGATCACACTCTCTCGGAGGGAGGATTCCGCCGACCTCCGCTTGCCGGGTTTGGGAAGGCGTGCGGGACGATTGGCCGTCCCCATCTCCCTTTCCCCCTCCCCCAGGGTCCAAAATCTTGTTGGGGGGGGGGGCCTGCAGAATCGCCGGCGCACCCCCAGGGACTCGAGAGCTTCCAAATCTGCCTTCCGTGGCCACAAGGACGTTCCAAGACGGTCCCAAATGGCGGAACGATTGGCCCAAGACGCGACGCTTACGATGGCTCCAAGATGCCCCAAGACGCCTTCGAGACGCCCCAAGAGCCTTCCCAAGAGAGCCCTGAGAGGCAACAATCAATGGTTTTCCTTTCATTGATTTTATTGTTTCTGAGGTTATCGTCTTCTCGAACTTCCGCAGCTTCAAGACGGCCCAAGAGACCCCGTACACCGCCCCAAACCTGCCCAAGAGGCCCTTCGAGGGCCCCAGGATGGCCCAAGAGGGTTCCAAAACGGCTCAAAGAGGGGCCCAAGATGGCCAAAGATCGGCTCATGAGAGGCAAAAAGGAAGAACACGAACCGAACATCCTAATTATCTTTCCCCCCAAGAGGCCCCCAAAGGCCCCAAGAAGCCCTCAAGCGACCCGAATGATAACCCCCTTGAGGCCCAAAAGAGGTACCAGAACGGGCCCCAAGACGCGTCAAAACTGCCTACAAGAGACTCCGCCAGGCTCCCAAACAGCTCCCAAGACGCCCACAAGAGCCCCAAAATAGTGCCCAGGAAGCGCACGACGCCTTGACCGTGGACTCCCCGCCTCTCCTTAGGGTCGGCGGAGTCTCGTAAGCCTCTTGAATAAAGAAACGGCGCAAACATAAACTTTCGGAGGTCTGCGCAGATTTCTCGGATCTGCGCGGGGCCCCCTCCTCTGCTCATGAGCGCAGGGAGCGCGCCAAGGGCAGCGCTGGAGGCGTCGCCATGGGATCCAGCGCCCATCGTTTAAACATGTTTATGCAGTGTCTTCTTCTTACGATATCAACAGTGACGATCAATCTTCTGTCTCCGTCTTTAGAACCACATCCTCGGAAGTGATGGGCAACGTTGGGGGGGCAGCTCCGGGGGAGAAACATCAACCCCGAATCGGCGATACATCGCCGATAGATCGGCGATAGGCCTCTGATGGCAGATCCGAGCGGTTCTGGGAGGAGTGGGTTATCGGTCCCCCACTGAGCCTATTCCCCCCCTCTCGTCATTTCTGACAGATGTCTCCCCCTGCCGTTGCCCTTGATCGATGTATCTTCTCTTCTCTCCGCTCCTTCCACTCCAATTCCTGCTGCTGTTCGTCCCCGTCCTTTTCCCTCCCGCTCATCCTCCTGCTCACCCGCCACCACCTCCTTCACCATTTCGTTTCTTATAAGTAACTCCTGCCTGTCGCGCCCCAAGGCCGGTCGAAATGGCGGGCCGGGCGTTTCGCCTGGTACTTCCTCACCATCCATGACCCTGAAGCTTGAACGTTGACAACAGTTTCATAAATGGAGGGCGGGTGGTTTTCAAAATGTGGCTCTCGCTTCGGCGCCGCGCACATTCGTTTTAAACAGTTGCAAGAGCTTCGCGGATTGAGCGCGGTTCGTTTTCAAAATGTGGCTCTCCCCTAGCGCCGCGCACATTCGTTTTACAAGATTGCAAGATCGCAGGATTTTCAATGACTCCCATGGTCGATTGGCGTCCCGAGACTGGTGCCATGGCATGCTTCAGGGTCTTCAAACCGTTGTCTCCCAACGAGGCTGTACTCCCTCAGTGGCAATGAACCCTCGTAGGGGCCTGTGCAGAGGGAGCTTGGAGGAGTATTCCAACATCGTTGATGAGACTTGAGTTTGCACTGGTCCTCGTCGTCGTCCTCCTCCTCTTTCTCCTCCTCCTCCTCCTCCTCCTTCTCCTCCTCCTCCTCCTCCTCCTCCTCCTCCTCCTCCTACTGTGCACGCAGCTCCCAAATTTCCCGATTGCGCATGACACGACGTGGTCGGTTGGCTGGAGCTGCAGGTCGGTTATGACGCGCGTCCGCAGACATAGAACAACCCCGCACAATGGGAGGGCGGGACAGGATGCCAGAGGAAGCGCGAGCGCACCCAGCTTGCCCCTCCCCCCTCGCCTCCTCGCTGCTCTCCTCCCCCCCTGGCCATCGCTCGGACGTCCATTCCCTGTGTTTTTTTCTGTTTCGTGCGTGGCTTTTTCGCCAAATGATCAAGGATGCTCCTCGATGGTCCTCGTCAACGGAAAAATGCACACGTCCGAGCGATGCCAAGCCCCACCCCGCACGATGTGACCTGTGCAGCGCGCGGCCCACGAGAGGCCCCCAGACACGGAGCCCCGGCGCCCCCTTTCCTCGGGGCAGCTTTGAAGGGGAACTGGGACACACAAATAAATAAACACAAATAGCCAGATTCCCTATATTTTCTCATATTTTCTGGGTTTTTGTCTTCCCCCCCCCTTCTTCCCATATTTTCCCACATTTTCCGGGGGATCGACGATGAATTGTGTCTGTGTGTGTTTTTGTTTTCCCTCCTGAAGCTTGCCGCCCCGGATATTCCGCTTCCTTGAGGGCCCGCGCCGAGGCAGGTCCCGCCCCGGGAGGCCGAAGTCGAGGACGAACGCCAGCACCCATACCCAGAGGTCCAGCGTACACCCTGCGAAATGCTTTAGAAATCATGGGTTAAGAAATTCAGAGTCTCAGAACTTGAATAAAAACCCAACGTTTCTATTCAAATCTTAAGATTTACATTAAAAAGTTAAGACAAATCGAGACTCTGGCCGACAACTTAAGTTTTCTTCAGCATCGCCTAAGGCGTCTTCAAAAAATCAAGATGGAGATTGTTCTACTTTTTCGGCCTCGGGGGGACCCCGTCGGGCCCCGGGGCCGTGAAGCAACGACTCGGGGTGAGAAGCCCGTCCCGGGGAATGGGTCGAGACTCGGCGGCGGACAAACTAGGGCTCCCAACTTCGCGCTTCGCGCTGCACGAAGCGCGAAGCGCGAAAAACTTCGCGCTCTCGCGCCGCCCTCCCAAAGGGAGAATAGGAGGACGAGGAGGAGGGGGAGAAGGAACGAGGACCGCGAAGCGCGAAGCGCGAATAACTTCGCGCCCTCGAGGGAGCCCTTGGACAAACCTCCCCTGAGTGAAAACGGCCTGGGACCGAAACCGACGGACCTGGACCCGCAGAAATGACGGCCGCGACGCCCCATAGCGAACCGAAAACGGCCAATTCCTGAATCGACGTGTCAGGGTAGGAGGTCTGTCCACCCCCGAGAGACTTCCGGGGACCCCGCGTTGGAAAAATCACGACGTTTGATCTCTGGGTACCATCCGGGACTTGGAGCCCGAGGCCGGCCTGCCGGCCTGGGGGCCATGACTCCGGCCTGGGGCGGCCGCTCGGGCCGCTCCAGGCACCCCGCGGAACCGCACCCGACGAGGCGCCGCCGCTGGGGGGTACCCCGAGGCTGGCACGCCGCCGCGAGCGAACGAGAGCGCCCGAGGACCTCGAACCTCAAAGCCTCGTTCGAGAGGCGAGACATGGCATCAACATGCGCTTCCTGAGGTCCGCCGGATGTCCTGGATCGGCGCCTGGAGCCCCCCGGCAGCGCCCCCTGGCGCCGCCCCTGGCGCGCTCCAGCGCCGATCCAAAACATCCGCGCGGACCTTCGACAGTCGAATTATGTTCATGTCATGCTTTGTTTATCTCGACTCGTCACCCTGCCGCCCTATCGTTCGCTACTCCGAACCGCTGAGGGGGGCGGCGGCGACGACGACATCGACGACGGCGGCGGCGGAAGGCCGTCCCTCCCGAGCGTTAACGAACCTCCAACCTCGAAGCGTCTCCTCCCCCCCGACACGCTATCCGCTTCCCAATCCCCTGGCGTCAATGTCCCGAACACTTTCTAGCCTCCCGCCCCGCGGAGCGGACCGACAAGCTATCCGCTCGCAGGGCATAGCATCTCGCCAGGGCCGCCGCGGCGACACGCTGACCACGAGTTCCCGACTGTATCCCCCCCATACCGCAGGAGGGCCCAGAATCGAATCAAAAAGTCGGATAGGCGATCGAAATGAACCGGATCGGCTGACATCCGCAGCCGCGTCGGGAGGAGTCGAATTGGCGGAGATTGGCAGGCCAGTAAAACCTCCACTGAACCACCGAACTGCCAATCGGGATCCGGTGTCGAATCGAATCGGAGTCGGAATCGGTGGAAATCGGATCGAATCGAGTCGGCTCCGCGAAGTGAAGCGGCGCGGTCAGAAAGTACTTTCCCCTCCCCCTCCCCTCTTGGCTCCTGCGCGCGCGTGCCGGCAACAGGGAGCGCCAGGGCCGTACCGTAGCTGCTCTTGCCCAGGCCAGTCTGACGAGCTGGCGAGACCGGCGAGAGCTCACCACAGAGCCTACATAGCTAAATCGCCAGCTTGAGACCGTAAATCCCAGGACCCCCGACGTCATGATTGCGAAGGCCTTACGGCTGGTGTCCCCGATCCTGAAGGGAGACGACGACGACGACGACGACGACGACGACGACGACGACGACGACGACGACGACGACGACGACGACGACGACGACGACGACGACGACGACGACGACGACGACGACGGCGGCGGCGGCGGCGGCGGCGGCGGCAACGACGACGACGCTGAGGTGAGCCAGAGTCCTCAGGGATGGTTCTTGGGGTCTCTTCGGAAGTATCTCGGGGGCCTCTGGGGAGGAATTTTGGGGCCTCTTGGGAGCGGCCTCTTGGGGCCGAGGGCTCGAAGTGTCCGTTCGGGTCCCCCGTCTGGGCACGCTCTTGGAGCCGTCTTGGGGGCCTCTTGGGTTGTCTTGGAAGCATGTCTTGGGGTCCTCTTGGGCTGTTTGGGGGCCCTCTTGGAGGCCTATTGGGCCGTCTTGGGGCGATCTTGGGGGCCTCCTGCGCCGTTTTGGAGCGGCGGGAAATTGAAAAGGCGAGAGCGCCCATTTTTGTTTTAATCGGAGGTTGGGGGGTGAGATCGAAGTCGAACGGAGAACCCCCCGCAGGGAAATCGGTTTCGGTTTCGTGTTCGTGCGTGCCGTGCGTGCGGGCGAGGCGAAGCTGCGTGGGCGGGCGAGAAGAAAATCTCCTGTGGCTGAGGCGCGGCCGGACCAAATGATTCTCCCTCCGGCAAGCGGTGGCGCGCGGTGTCCCGCCGGTGTCCCGCTTGTGGCTGGGCCCGGCCGGACCAAATGATTCTCCCTCCAGCAAGCGGTGGCGCGCTGTGTCCCGGTGTCCCGCTGGTGCGAAGACGACAGTGAGACCGATGACAAAATCGATTGTGAGATCGATAGTGAGATCGATAGTGAGACCGATAGTGAGATCGATCGTGAGATCGATAGTGAGATCGATAGTGAGATGATTAGTGATATCGATTGTGAGATGCTCGACCGCGCGGTGCCCGAAAAGCAGCAAGCGTGCGCTATCCCCGAAAAGCTCCCAATAGCCCCCAAGAGGCCCCCAAGAGTTTCCCAAGAGGCTTCCAAGACCCCCTAAGAGGTCCCAAAGAAGCGCCCAAACGGCCCCCCGAGCCCTTGCAAAATTAACTAAATAAATTATTATTTCGTTGGTTCCCAGGGGGGGGGGAATGATACCAAGGCGCCCAAGAGCGAAGGATGACGTAAACTACTCGACATCAAGCCTCCCAAGAGCGAGCGGCAACGCAACAATCACCACTGTTGCCCATTTCTGGCCCCCCCCCCCAACCTCCTTATCACCCGCAGGGTGGTCGTATAGGTAAGAATATAAGGAAATCGATGAATTTGGCCTCTTCGGACCCTCTCGGGAGTGCTCTTGGAGGCGTCTTGGGGCGTCCTGGAGGCCTCCTGGGCAGTCTGGAGGGCGTGAAGGCGCTTTGGACCGATCATTCGGCGATTGGGGACGCTCTGGTTTCGTCTCGGCGGCCTCTTGGGGCACTCTTGGCCTGTCTTGGTACTTTCTGAAGCCCCGGGGCCCCCAGGGGGGGATGCGTATCTGCTCCCCCCCCCTAGGACCTCCCCCCGGGACCCCCCCCCGACGAGGGAGGGATCAAAGGGAAGGGGCTTCCTTTCGACTCGATTACGACATTGCTGGATCTTTCTCTCGCTGACAAGCTTGAGGAGGAGATAGCAAGGAAAGGGACGACAGAGACGACGACTCGAACAGTCAAGCCCCTCACACACGCCAGACCCCCGACGTCATGATTCTCTCACAACGTCGAGACCCAAAGGTCTCGACCCATTTCCTGGCACAAGTTTTTCATCCCAGCGAGAGCCGCCCAGAGACCCAGCGAGAGCCGCCCAGAAGCCGAAAGGGGCCAAAAATCTCTCGTCGTGATTTGTCTGGGATGAGCCCTGCCCCATCGTCCTTGACGGTCCCGAGGCTCGAGAAGGGCCCCCAGAGGCCAGAAACAGCAACCAACCTCCCGTCGGAACTTCTGTCACGACTCGTGGGGGTCTAGGATCCTTGTCCCTCTCGCTGCCAGGAGGGGGCCCCCCAAGAGGCCCAGAGTGGGATGGGGGGGGGGGGAGGGAAAAAATGTGAGGAGGACGAGGAGGAGGAAGAGGAGGAGGAGGGGGAGGAGGAGGAGGAGGAGGAGGAGGAGGAGGAGGAGCAGGAGGAGTGCTGTGGAGTCGAAGTCAGTGAGCCCTGCCCCATCGCTGCCCCTCCCCGAGCATCCGGCGCCCTGATGTTGTCCGAGCACCGGGCGCCCGACTCCTCGACCACTGCCCTGGGACCCGCTCCGCCTCGCGAGCCGCCTTCTCCGCCGGCCCCGCGGCGCGGTGAGGGCCTCGAGGGGCCGACAACGACGAGAAACCTCCGCCTCGACTCCTTCTCAAGGCCCGACGTCTGACGTCGTGGGCCCCGCGGCGCGGTGAGGGCCTCGAGGGGCCGACAACGACGAGACACCTCCGCCTCGACTCCTCCTCGAGGCCCCACGTCTGACGTCGTGGGCCCCGCGGGGGCGCATCCTGCCCCGGCGAGGCCTGCCGCGCCAGGGCGCCTGGGCCGCCCGGCGGCCGCGAGGTGCGCAGGTCGAGCCTCGCGGCGGGGGGCCCCCCGCGCGCCGCGCCGTCGGCCCGGAGGGCCTCCTCCCCTCCTCCTCCTCCTCCTCCTCCTCCTCCTCCTCCTCGGCCCCCCGCTGGGAGGGGGGGGGGACCCCAGGACCTTCGGACGCCCCTGCAGGACTGGGTCGTCGCCGACAGGGCCAGGCGGAGGAAGGGAGAGGAGGAAGGACGGGGTGCTTCCGCATAGGATTCAATGCAAATCCCCACGAACCCTGCGGGGCACGTGCGGCGCGGGGGGCGGCGGACCGTCTCCCCAGCCCACCATCATAGGGGGATGCGAAGTCCGCGGAGACGGGACGGGGTGGGCATGGGTTGGCATTATAAGCCGGCCCACTATCAAAAAGAAATATCAGAGCTTCCACGCCTGTACACAGGACTGATCTACTGACGGATCCAATTCATCCTCCATTGATTGGCACCAAATTCATGTGAAGCAGCATGCTCTCCCCTCGAGCCATGAGAAAATCACGACGTCAGGCTTTTCGCTCTTTGCGGCCTCTGGGGGCCCTTCCTGGGCCGCTGGACCGTCAAAGAACGACTCAGGATGAAACGCCGGTCCCGGGGAATGAGACTCCTATGGGGGTCGACGTCCTGAACGAAGCACGACGTCGGGGGCCTGGGGAGAGGCCTCCGTCACATTGGGCGTCGCGAAAAAATCGAGACGCTTTTCTGTTGTCCGTCATTGCCCAGACCCCCGACGTCACGATTTTTTCACAACGTCGACCCCCAGAGGTCTGGACCCTTTCCCCAAGACCGGCTTTTCATCCAGAGTCGTTGTTTGACGGCCCCGCGGACCGGCAAGAGCCCCCAGAGGCCGAAAATAGCGAAAAACCTCGCGTCGTGTTTTTTTCATGACTCGAGGGGGTCTGGGAACGTGGTGCAGAAACGCGAGCGTCTCAAAACCCTCGGGCACTGCATTTTACCGCGGAGCTGCCATCACCCTTGTCCTCCTCCTCCTCCTCCTCCTCCTCCTCCTCCTCCTCCTCCTCACCCTCCTCCTGCTCCTCCTCCTCCTCCTCTTCCTCCTCCTCCTCCTCTTCCTGGGCCGCCTCTGTTTCCCCTCCAGTTGGCCCAAGATGGCGTCCAAGACGGTCAAGATGGCCCAGGATGGTCTCCAAGACGTCTCCAAGACGGCCCAAGATGGCCTCCAAGACGGCTAAGATGGCCCCAAGATGCCTCCAAGACGGCCCAAGATGGCCTCGAGATGGTTGGTGTACGACGGCCCAACAGGCCCGCAAGAGGCCTCCAAGACGGCCCAAGAGCCCTCCAAGACGTCCTCCAGGAAGGCCCGAAAGGGCCAAACTCATTTATTTTCCTGAGGTGTTTGAAGGATTTTGGTATTTGCGCCTTTTCGGCTTTCCGACGGCCCAAGACGGCCCAAGAGGCCCCCAAGATCGCCCAAGAGGCCCCCCAAAGGACCCCATGACGGCCCAAGTGGCCTCCAAGACGGCCCCAAGAGGGCCCCAAGACGGCCCAAGAGGCCTCCAACACGCAAGATGGCCTCCAAGACGCCCAAGATGGCCTCCAAGACTGCCCCAAATCGCCCCAAGAGGGCCCCAAGTCGGCCCAGAAAGGCCCCCAAAGCGGCTCCCGACGGCGTCAGACGTGCCAGGAACCCAACAAGATGGCCGAAGTTGGCTCGAAACTTGCCTAAGACGGCCTAAGAGGCCCCCAAGAGGGCCTCCAGGAAGGCCAGAAGAGGCCCCAAACATTGATTTTCCTTAGGTTTTTGACGGATTCTGACATTTGCTTCGTTTCGGCCTTCCGACGGTCTTCCGACGGTCCAAGAGCTCCCGAAGATCGCCAAAAGATCGCCCAAGAGGCCTCCAAGATGGCCCCAGAACGGCCCAAGAGGGCCCCAAGACGGCCCCAAGAGGCCCCCAAGACGGCACAGGAGGCCTTTAAGACGCCCAAGGCGGGCCTCCAAGACGACCCTGGAGCATTCCAAGAGGGCCCCAAGTCGGCCCATTGAGGCCCCAAACGGCGTCAGACGGACCAGGAGCCCACCAAGACGGCCGAACATGGCCCTAAGTTGGCCCAAGACTGCCCAAGAGGCATCCAAGAGGGCCTCCAGGAAGGCCCGAAAAGGCCAAAATCATTGATTTCCCATGGGTTTTTGAAGGATTGTTGCATTTGCTTTTTTCTGCCTTCCGAGGGCCCGAGGCGGCCCAAGTGCCCCCAAAGATCGCCCTAGAGGCCCAAGGCACGGCCCCAAGAGGCCCCCAAGACGGCCCAAGAGGTCTCCAAGACGCTCAAGATGGCCTCCAAGACGGCCCAAGAGCCCTGCAAGAAGGCCCGAAAGGGTCAAAATGGCCTCCAGACGGCCAAGATGACCTTCAAGATGCCCACGTGTTCCCCGAAGGCTTTCCAAACCGATTCGGGGAACACATGGTCCGATAGCTTGGCAGGTCTGGCCTCCACGTTCGGCCAAATAGGCGCTTCCAAAAAGGCAGGGGCCGGCGGTGATTCGCCGTATGCGTCTTCGATTACCAGCATCGCCATCATCATACTCATCAGCATTCATCATAACCATCGTGATCCACCCCTGTCCCCCTCTCTCCATCTCGCTCCCCTCTCCCTCCCTTCCTCCTCTCCGCCTCCCTCCTCCTCCTCCTCCTCCTCCACCTCCGCCGAGGAAGAGGGCAAGAAGGAGGAGGACGAGGAGGATGGGGAGGAGGAGCAGAGGAGGAGGAGGAGGAGGAGGAGGAGGAGGAGGAGGAGGAGGAGGAGGAGGAGTCCCTCCTTCCCCTTCGTCCCCGAGAGTATGGGGATACGCATGGGGCTGCGGCGGAACGAGTCCAGAGTTGTCGACGCACACGCCCCGCCCGCGCGCATGCCGCCGCCTGCGCAGGCGGGCCGCGGGCGGGGCAAAGGCAGCGCGTCGCGGGCGGCACGCGTGAAGCGGCATGCGCCCGGCTGCCAACGCACCCGGAGGGCGATGGAGAATGCAGGGCGGGAGGAGGAAGAGGAGAAGGAGATGAAGAGGGGAAGAAGCATGATGATGATGATGATGATGAGGAGGAGGAGGAGGAGGATGCTGATGCTGATGCTGATGCTGATGCTGATGCTGATGCTGATGCTGATGCTGATGCTGATGCTGCTGATAATGATGATGACGATGATGATGATGATGATGATGATGATGATGATGATGATGATGATGATGATGATGATGATGATGATGATGATGAAGATGCTGATGATGATGCTGACGAGGACGAGGAAGAGGAGGAAAAGTTGGAGGAGGAGGAGGAGGAGGAGGAGGAGGGGGAGCAGGCGAAGCATTTGGCGGCGCGCGCAGGAGCGATGGCGCGAGGGGGGCGATTTCTATGAAGGCGAGGGAAGGCTTCAAAGGCCCCCTTTCGCGCCACCGCGTTGTGAGCGCCGCGGGGGAATGTGAAGAAGGAGGCTGAGCACGGCGAGGACAAGAAGGAGGTTGAGGAGGAGGAGGAGGAAAGCGATGACGGTGAGGAGAATGGCGAGGATGACGAAAGCGAGAATGAGGCGGAGGACGACCAGGATGGGAAGTAGGTGCAGGGGGGTGAGGAGGAGGGACAGAACGAGGAGGGGATCGAGGAGGACGAACGACGAGGGATGATTATCTGTGGCGATACAAGGCCAAGGGATCACGCAAGAGTGCAATCAAACAGCCACAACATGGCGAACGTGAGATTATGTTGCTTTCAACATCCGCATGCGTTGCCTCGGTCTGCCGAAGCAGCGTGCGAGCCTGGATCGCAATGGCAGCGCTACTGATTATCATCGGCGCCTGATCTCCTCGACTCTGTGAACTATCACAAGCAATTTTCGTTGGAGCGTCCAGAGTTGTCACGTGCGCTTCTGCACAGAATTCCCCAAGTTCTGTACCTCAAATTGGCATAACGACAACGCAAATCCGAAGTGCTGGTAAGTCGGGTCTCTCTTCGGTGTCACGTCGACTGTGCACGAGCACCTTAGCAATTGCTGAGAAACGGCGTCGTGAACACGGCGCAGTCCACCAGACAGACAGAAGAGGCCGCGCCTAGTCGGCGCATCGGCAGAAATGCGTGTAATAACAGAACCCACGAACACTCATGCGGAAAACGAATTCCGGCTGAGTGCAAATGCGCCAGAGGGCGGTGGTTGACGTTACATCAGCAAAGGGGCGTCATGCAGGGGGGGCCAAGGGGAGGAGGGAGACGGGGAGGGGAGGGCGGCAACGACGAGAGGAGGACGACACTGAACTAAACCTATTTGCAACACTTTACCACGGCGGCCTCCCAGTGCGCAAGCGGGCTATTCAGAAGATCATGTAAACGATCCAGATCGTACCCCGCCACTTTCATGGCACAGGTGTGCATGTAGTGGCCCCGCTGCACTCTGGGTCGTCCTCGTTTGCGGCGAACTTTCCGCTTTCTGGGCGCAATCTCGCGCGCCAGGCCAGGCCTGGCAGACCTTCTTGGGAAACCAGTTGTCTAGGCAACGTGCGTGGCTGATCTCGGGGGAGTTTTCCATCATATTTGAGCTGTCGCTGCAATAAGGTCGTCGACAGACGCCCAGCTTCACTCCCTTGCCTTTGAAATTAAGGCTGGCGGGATGTATGGATCTTTCGCAGACGCCTGGCCTGAAAGCCATCGAGCTGTTCCCGGCCAGCGGAAAGAAACATACATGATTCAAGTATGTACAACAATTGGGAAACATGCAAGATTCAAGTATACGAGTTTTTCGTTGACGAATTACGTTGTAACGATTTCAAACAGCACCGAGTTGTGGGAAACCCCTTACGCTTCACCAGTACACCTTGCCAACTTTGTCCTGGGGTTCTTGCCAGTGCTCAGAAAACCGCCAAAATATACAGCACTGTCTCGGCATCGAATGGCATGGGGTCTTGATGAGGTACCCGACATGGCATGAGGTCCTGACGACGCCCGAGATCTGCGCGCTCTGATTCTGGCACTGCAGCTGTTCTCCGCATCCTGCTAGCGTTCTTGTTCTCTCTGGGCACCCTGCGCAGGAATACGTCCCTCCTCGTCCTCACCCCCATCTCCTCTCCCAGTCCTTTCACACTCGTCATCATGATATCACGCGCACTCACGCACTCGCAACACCAGCATGGCACACTCATGCACCCACGTACACACACACACACACTTTTCGGTCGTCGCGGGCGGGGACACCTCCTCACCGTCCAGCCAGCGCGGCGCGCAACAACCCAGTAGCCGAAGAGAAGAGCACACACACACACACGCACATTCATGAACACACAAACGCACACGGGCACGCACTCTCACAAACACACACACAAACACACTAATCATAAGCTCGCCCACTCACACACTCACACTCTGATACATCCAACTCGCGAACTTACTCACACACTCTTGAACACATAATGATACACACATCTTGCGAACATCGAGCGGGAGACTCGTCTGTGAGTGGCTTGCAAGAAAGTCTCGAGCGGGAGCCCCCTCCAGTCCTCACTTCGTGCTGCTAATCACGAATCTTCCAAGTTTCTCGCGCCAGGCAGCCTGAAGCGTGAGTGAAGACGTCTCGAGCGGGATCCCCTCCATTAAACACCAGCAGCGTTCTCACACATTGCGACTCGAACATCGAGGAAGAAGATCTCAAGCGGGAGCCCCGCTCCTCAGCAACTTGTGAGGATGTCTTGGGCGGGAGCCTCGTCTGCGAGCGAGTTGCGAGACAGTCTCGAGCGGGAGGCCCCCCTCGATGGGGGGCCCCCGCCGCACGGCACCAATCCGAGGGGGTCATACAGATCCTGTAACTGTCGTCACGTTTTGGCTCAGGAGGCCCTGCTCTGGAGGGTGTCTCGAGCGGGACCCTCGTCTGTGAGTGAAGTCTGCGGAAGTCTCGAGCGGGGCCTCCCTCCCCGTGGGTCATGCTCTCATCCGACCAGCGGCCTGATCTGGCTTCACTGGAAAGCGACACTGAGACGTCTGAGCGGCTTGCTTCGCAGGAAAAAGAGGAGGCAAGAGGAGGCAGGCTAAGACGGAAGGGAGGAGGCAAGTGGAGGGAGGGATTGTGAGGCAGGAGGCAGAGGCAGGAAGAGCAGGAGCACAAGGATGAGGGTGAGGAGGAGGAGGTGAAGGAGGATGAGGACGAGGAGGAGAAGGATGACGAGGAGGAAGAGAGGCAGGAGGAAGCAGGAGGAAGAAGCAGGAGAAAGAGGCAGGAGAAAGAGGCAGGAGGAGGATGGGCCAGGAGGAAGATGGGGCAGAAGGAGGAGAACGAGGAGGCAGGATAAAGATGCGATATTAAGAGGACGCAGGATGCGGAGGAGGAGGAGGGGGAGGAGGAGGAGAAGGCAGGATGAGACAGGAGGAGCCAGGAGGAGGAAGAAGGGGAGGAAGGAGGAGGAAGCAGGATGATGAGAAGTCAGGAGGAGGGGGAGGAGGAGAATATTCAGGCAGGATGAGCAGGAAACAAGGAAGATGAGGCAGGAGGAAAGACGATGAGGAGACAGCAGGAGGAGGGGGGGAGGAGGGAGGGATGAGGAGGAGGATGCAGGAACCAAGAAACAGGACAAGGGTCTCCGCAACCTCAACAATCACAACACACAGAAACGACGATGACGCTTTCCCGCATGAAGGCTGAGGAGACTGTCACGCGGGGTCCGACCATCGGAGTAATCATGTGGTACCTGTTTTCTATGTGCCGCCGCCGCTATCCGAAGGAGGATGCTACGGTGAGGCCGTTGGAGAGGACACCTGGACATGATCAAGAGTATGCGAATGCTGCAAGTGCTTTGGGAATCTTACCACGCCCGCTGCAGTCAGCCCGTATACAATACGGATGCGCGTTGAGGATGCAAGGGCTTTGGAAGGCCATGTCGACACTTTGCGAGCGGGGCATGGCCAGCGGAAGTCGCCAAGCACGGGCCAAAGGGGCCATGATGCAAGGGTCGCCGTGGAAAGTTGCGCATCATTACTATGCGGGTTGACTGTGCCCAGGTTTTATCTGGCCCCCTTCGCGGCTAGGAAGAGCAAGAATGGGGGGACAGACCGCTGTCGGTACCTCTCTGCTCCCTGACCCTCTCCTGCGGTGCGTGCGGGCCAGCACCTCGAGAGCCCATCCAGCCGTGGCGACGAGGGCCTTCCAGGACGAGCAGCGTCATCGGAGAACCTCTCCCTCCTGCGGGATGAGCACCCCAGGTTCGGGGCTCCTGCCCCCGAGGAGCACTCCTCGCCCGACGACTCCACCAAACACGGCAGGCTCAGAAGGTTGACTGAACGCCACGCGTTTTCTTAGACAGCAGTCCAGGTCCACATATACAAAGGTTCCACGAAGAAAAGAAGATCCAGGAGAACGCCCAGGGTCCAGTCCAGATTCTTGGTGCTCTTGAACGAAATCTGGAGTCCATGAAAACTGACGCTTGTTCTCAAGATTCCGGATGGGTGTAGAAGCAAGCGGATCCGCTGCCGAGAAAGAGAACGTCTGTCAGAGACTGTGGATGCCCAATCTCGTGCGGAATCATACACTACAACAAATGACGATCTCAAGCCGGTGGCTGGGAAAGCTCGACTTTACAGGCGCTCTGGGTGAGCGTTCGGCGACCACGTCGCCTCTTCAGACTGGCCCAAATTAAAATAGCTATGGTCCTCCCTCCTGCCAACGTGCGCGCAGAATCAAGCAAGGGAAGGGACGAGGAATGCACTGCTGGACTGCACCGCTCCACTTCGAAGAGCCAGCACTGGACACTAAATAAACTGGGACCGATATCTTCTTGGCGCAGGCTTGATCTCGATTCGCCCGGCACGATTTGCCCGGCTCGATCCGCCTGGCTCGATTCGACCGGGTCTCTATTCACTTGGCTCGATTCGCCTGGCTCGATTCGTCGACTTTC